GAGAGGAAAAAAAATATATATATATATATAGCAATGAAAATTTTATTAATTTTTTATATTAAAAATTTATTAATTATGATTTTTTTAGAAAGAATTTATTAATTAATTAATTATGATTTTTTTAGAAAGAATTTATTAATTAATTAATTATGATTAGTTAGAATTGAACTGCAATAATTTCTTATAATCTATATGGCTATTAAATCTTTATGAAGTTATTTTGTCACTAGAAGAATTTAACATGCGTACAGATATATAGTTGAAGAACTTTTAAATTATTTTTGGTTTTTAAATTTTAAAAAATGCTCGAAACAATATGCATTTAGAAAATGAATGGAAATATTTTACAAAATAATTGTGTCATGATGTGAATAATAGAATTATGTCCTAAGTTTGATTGAGTTGGGAAGGTCTTGAATGAAATGGTTCATGCTACAAATTTGATTTAATTAAAATTTTATACGTGACATTAAAATTGAGTTTATTTTAGTTTAATAGTTCAACTGGTTAAGCCATTTATTTCCAATTAGAAATGCGATTGCACTAAAAACCGGTTTAGTTGATTTTATTTTTTTTTATTTTAATAATGATGCACTTATAACCTAGATTATTAAGGCATCAATGAGTTAATTTGGATGGTTGAAAGTTATATATTTACAACTTTTCTTTAAAAGAGGGAAATGATAGTACATTGAAAATTCTTTTTTTTCTTTTAAGAATGAATTCATTTCCTATTTTTATGTCAACTTTTATTTTAAGAAAGTTAATAATCTTTAATTAATAACTTTTAAAAAATGGTTGGGTGGGACAAATCTAAAAGAACGACTACACAAAGAATTAAAAGAAAATATAAGTTTCTGACCAAGAGTTATGAATATAGCTCAATTGGTTAAAGCATTCGATTTTCATCCCACGTCCGTTAAAACTCAGCTAAACTAATTTAAAAAGTCATAAAGCAACTCAAAAATTAACTTCGAACAAACTTATAACCTAGCTTTAAATTGAACCCAACCCTGTGTCTCCTCTCACCCAATGTACAATCTATAAGGATCGTCCAATTAAAGAAGAAAAACAAAACAGTGAACATCGCCTATATAGGGAGGGGAATGTGAAGCTACTTCTTGTATAACATTTTTTCACCGTACAATATTTTAGAGCAACAGGATGAGAACATGATAACAACTCCCCTTTAAGCCATGGGAGAGCGCAGCTGTGCATCGAGGTCGACAAAGACAAGATTCAAGACACAAGTTCATCTTGCAGAAGAATCTCGTAAATATCGGTTCGAAGATTGAGCTCCTTATCCCGCATAACTTCTTGGAGATCCGAAAGCTCTTTCGCGCTCAAAACGGAGTTCAGTTTGAGAAAACCATCAAGCCACAGTTTTTTTGACCTTAAGAACATACAACGGTTAGACAAAAGTGATACTGTTTATCTAAAGCATACGTACATCATTCATTCATAAACGAAAAGAACCTGGTTAGAATGATAGCTGGTGTAAATAACAAATTGGCTCTTACCACGGGCAGGAATGAATAGCTCGGAAGAAAACTCGTCGGGCTGAAGAAGGATCGCATGCTGTGTTCAGCTCATATGATATGTAACAGCGCCAGAGTAGAACAGAATGACGCAAATTCTCGTTTTCCAATGCCTTTTCGAACAGTCTACGGATTCTATGGAGAGAACCTCCATGACCCATCTCAAAGGATAATGCAAAAATCCAAAGAATCAAAGAAGGTTGCCTGAGAATATTACACACAAAATTGTCAAGCCTCAAGACCAGAAAAGCATGTATAATGTTCACAAGTAATTAGCAAAAGGAAATGTTTACAACAATGGATTGGATGGCAAATATACGATCAAAAGATAAAAGCAAGCGTCAGATTGAGAAAAGGTTTCAGTCAGAACAGAGATAAACCCATCCAACAGTCAGAATGAAAAGATAGAACAAGTAACGAAATAGATAATGAAGGGATGTGGAGTGCATCCATCACGCTCGGGAACGCGCAAGGGTTTAACTATCTAAGCGGCATCTTAAGAGAACACAACGTTGTAACTGCATTTTAAAATGAGAGATTTGGTTCAAGGATTGACAATACATAGCTAGCTAATCAGAGGCAAGTATGGAGAAGTTTAGAACTCAACCGTAAATTTTACAATAAGGGATACTGAAAACCAGACACAGGATTAGCAGTGTCATAAAGAGCACAAGGAGATCATCTTACTTCTGGCAGTAGTCATCAAAGGTCCATCGCAGTTTACTGGGTACCGAATAAATGTAGCTGATCTCCAGAAAAGCACTATAAAGTTCTGGATTTAATGGATAGGATTGCAATCCCTGAGAAACAGACTCCCGGACTTTCATTTGGCTTAATTGCTTATGATGTCTCCGAAGCATCTTCACGTAGTAGTTGAATAAATTTTCAAGCTGATAGCTCTGTTTTCTTCTTTCTGCACATGGATAACAATAGTAAGTAATGAATAATAAACCAAATAAACAAATAACATGAAGCAGAAACATTCTCTGTACTAGTTTTTTTTTTAATAAAAATTGAAGATAAAATAGGAAAACAATCTTCCTTCTTGACAATAGAGGCACATCTGTTGTGCGTGTAAGATCACAGCTGCATGGAGTGGTGCCAAATCACAGAACGTGAGCAAATATAGAAGCTCTCTTCAGAACGTAGAGCCAAAAATTTGTCATTTGTTGATTCACCATCCTCACAGCTATCGACAATTTACCACGTCTAGTTCATAAAGCTATTGCTCCATATCCAATGATCGGCTGCTGGGGGCACTAAGTTCATATTACTTGCTAACGCTAGTTCGGAAAAAAATAACTTTTATAATTAATAGTGGAGATTTCCCTAGAGTAAAACACAATGAAATACTGAAGGGCAATGAAAGCTTCCACTAGTGCAAATTAAGCAATCTTCTTCTTTAGAATGTACAGGGGGAGGAAGCGGGCAACAGATTCCGAGAAAATGGTTCAAGATTATCAGAATCGATAAGAAATAAATAGTATAAAAAACCAACAGAATTGGGAAATAACCTGGAAGTACCATGGAGAAAGCTTGATCTAAAACCTCAAGACCTGCATTGCATCCAGAGGTCAACTCCTCAAACAAAGCTGCAGAGGATATGAGAGCCACAGACGAGTCATCTATAACTCCATGGAGCCATGTAGACTGTACTGCCCTGACTTTTTCTTTAAAGCCTTGGTGCGCTCTCAGCACTTGCAAGCTTGATGGTTGACATTTAAATGGACTGTGTGCAGCACCACTTCCTAGGCAAGATAAGACGTGAACTGCACGATTTAATGAGTCATGACCCTTGATAGGATCATTCGCAAGCTCCATTTCAGCATACCAGAAATATAGTAGAGAAGCGTTAGACTTCTGATCCTGCTCCAGAAATCACAGCAGTTGAAATTAAATTCCACTCTCATAGAGTAAGCACCTCAAAACTCAGTTACAACAATTACAAAAATGCCAAAATTGAATAGTAACAGAAGTCCGTTTCAAGAAACATATTGTATGACATACATACAACTGATAGATAAAATAGGTCAAATATAAGCGAGGGATTTCAACATGGAGTTGCAAGTCAAGGCATCAAAAGAAAGCAAGAGCTTCAAGGAATGCCAATAACAAAAGTCGAAATGCAAGGACATTCTACTGTTTGGACACAGTTTTCTTCTCTTAAAATAAAAACTAACCCAAAGATGACGTAATTGAAGATTGTTTTTTCTTTTCTTAAAAAGTAGCATCAATAACACATAAACTGCTGATACTTTAGCACAGACAATGAGCATTCACATTTAATGATACAGTAATATACCACAGGAAGGCTTTCCACAGATGCCAATGCCATGTCAAATACTTTTCTAGCATGATCAATATTTCCATATGTTGCCTCTCGTCGTGCATAGACTCCACATAATAACACGTCCTAAAATTATCACAAGATGACGTCAATTATGTCAGACTTGAATAATTCAGTTATAGAAATAAATCATAGTGGTAATAGTACAAAAATGAGGATGTAGACCCATTGCATAAAGAACGTGTATCCAGAAGATGCGATTATTTCTATGCTTCATGAAAAAAAGGAACTTTCAATTACGATAGAGAAGACAATTAGCCACAAAAGGACCTTAGGGACCACCCTAGTATAATCAGGAATGAAGCATAAATGCGAGCCAAGAAAAGGACATCAACATTGATGATATGATGATCTTGTCACCAAATCGTGATCTAGTTTAGACTTCAAGTTTAGAAAATCCAAGGTCAATATGGTAAAAATAACCCAACTAAATAGGAGGTAACTACATAACTCATAAGCAGAAGTTTAAGATGTTGAAAGATGTAAATCCCATGGAGCTGTTGTCTCATGCAGTTGCACCTAAACTTCTATTCCATTATCTTACAATTTTTTTAATAGTAAAAATAATAATAGCAATGGCAATAACTTATTCCACATAAATTCAAAAGTTTTTGTCTGCTCTGACCTGGAACCCAACCACCTTCTGTCAGTACTACTATTTTTTTAAGAGTAAAGTTCCTTAATGACAACAAAGCATACATGGTGTACAGATAGACATTCAAACACAAATAAAGCATATATGTTGATAGTAAATAGAAAATAGACCACCTGACGATCACTTTTCAAGAGGTTCTTTGCCAAGGAACGGCAGGGGGTAACTGAGGAGCCACCAGAATTCATTTTTGTAACGAATAACTCTTCAGCAATTAAAGCAGCTTCTTCCAATATATAATTACGTGGGAAAGTCGTTAAACAAAGTAAGATAGCATTGCGAAGAAACTTCATCATGTCAGACATACTAGATAAGTTATCAGAACCTCCCACAAGGACCTCCAAAGTGAAGCCACCAGAGATATTTTGTCCTTTGTTAAGAACATCGTGGACACTTCTCAGGTAATGTAATATATCGTCTGGCAATGCCTCTAAACTAAGTATTCTCTCCATCCAACTTGAACTATTTGAAGAAGCCCTGATGGAGAGAAAAAATGTCAATCATTTGTCAAGCAAAGAGGTAAAAGGAATTTGCCTTTAAAAAGAAACCAGAGCAATATCTAGTTTTGCACATAACTAAGACATGAACATCACCGAAGACAAGAGTTGACAGCGATAAAAGGTTAGTGCTAAATGAATATCTTGATAATGACGATTGATCATACTGACACCAAAAACAAAACAGCTTCCTCCCATAGACAGACTCAAATTATAATACTATCAGAAAATTGTGAATTGATGGACACCTATAGCAGTCACTCCAGAAACCACCTGTTCAACATTTCCACCATTTTCAACCAAAAAACAACCCATTTGGCATTTCCATAGATTCTTAAACACCACCTGTAGCTTTGCTGTAGAAAAAGTATTTTGGCATCGAGTACTATAGTTATTGATTAGAAAACGGGGGAAGATCTCTTTTGAAGTTCTTAACTATTAGGCTCTCCTAAAATCCTAAGTCCAGGAGATAGACGGCAAAACTGCAAATCAATGGTTGAAGGGGGTGAGGACTAAATGTAGGAGCAAGAGAAGCTTTATCTCAAACGCTTCTCATAGTAACGACTTACAGGACTTCAGAATTAAATAAAAAACTCGCTTACTCTTTGCCTATTGTCTTCAGTTAAATCTTAGTTACTAAGCCTCAATCCAACCCAAAAAGGCACCTTGCAAGGTATCGTCCATCAATTAGAAGATTTTGTATTTCAAGAAGCTCTAGCATAATCTTTGAGAAACAACTTTTTACATGAAACATACTAATTCACTCAGCAAAGTATTTCACCGCTTGTTAAAAGATATCAATGCAGTTCACATATTCAAGTACAAAATAGAGAACATAATTATATATATATATATGAATATTACGGCTGTGGTTTTCAAACTGAAAACGACTATAAATAAGGTTGTACACAAGAACAGTATATACCTTGAATAGATTTTTCCACTAAAGAATTCAATTAGCTGATATATTAAGGATAAACGGGCTTCACTTGAAATCAATGAAAACAGGTACTCTTTGACATCTTCATATAATACAACTCTTAGAAGTTGTTCGTTTGCTTCTCCATCAGGCATCTCTTCATCATGAATAACATCTGCTGTTTCACAGTAAGAATTAGGATTACATAAACATGATATTGATTAATCAGTAAACAGACTCAAATGGCGCAATCATGTTAAATTTTCAGAATGCAAAGATTCATGGTATTCCAATGATTTCTGTGCGTACATGTCATAATAAATGTGAACTAAAAGAGTTGAGCTATAAAATAAAAAAGTATGCAGGCAGATGCAGGATACCAGTTTTTGCCCGGACAGGTATCCATTGTTCACAATCTCTTAGTGACTCTTCTTTTGACCATTTAGCCCAGGTTGAGGTGTCCTTAACCTCCCCATCTACCCCTAGATCAGTGTTAATTCCTAGAATTTTGAGCAAATCTTCAGTGCTATCTTCCCTTTCGATATCTTCTTCTTCCACATATTCCGCCATAGTCTCCTCTGCTGCAACACCCATTTCTGCAGTAGTTTCTGTGTCATCGCTATTTTTCTTCTCTTTGGGTGCTGGATCAGACCAACCCGTCCAACCACCTTTATCATCAGCCTCTAAGGCCTCCTCCTCTTTAATAACCTTTTGTCTATTTTCCTCTTCTCTTTCTAACCATGTAGACCAACCAAGGGCACCTTCTTCACCAACTCTTTCACCGTCACTATTCCAAAAGTGTTCAAATAATCTTTGTTTACTTCGATCATTTAAATGCAGAGCAGGGCAGAACAAGCTAAATTCAATCTCAGCCTGAAATAAAGCAGTAGCCAACTCCTGATACCCAGCCTGCCACTCAAACCTGCACAAACTCAGGAAAATATCAACCATACTAAGTTCTAGCTGAATATGATCATGCTCCACAGAGGGTTTGGCAGTTTGATTGGCCTGCATCAAACAGAAAAAGAAAATACAGAAAATTTGAATAAAAAGAATGGAATCTATCCACACATAGGAATAAGAAGATTTGTTTAAATTCAAAATAATCAGGCTGAAAAAAGAATTTTAGTGCACATATGACTTCGGGACTTGGGAAAAGGGGAAAAAATTACAAAAACTAGATAAAGAAGTCCACCTAAAAAAGAGTAAAAGCTTGTAAAACAAAAGCAGGCATACATCTTCTTTCAACCACAGATGCTCGTAACAAAAACTTCATAAAGTTCGATAAAACAGAAAGTAATGTGCAAAATAAGGTGATGCCCAAAGTACATATAGTAATTTGACTTGAGAACCTGCCTAATGTGCTGGTTGCATGCAGCAGATAGAGCTTGAATCGCATGTGCATACATTTGTCTCATGTCTGAAACCTTGAATCTCGAGAACTCCCCTTGAATGAGATGCAAAAACTCTCTCCACAACTTATAACTCCCAGAATGCTGCATCAGTATCTTCTCCCATCTACTAATCACCACATCAATATTATCTCTGTTCTGATAGGTCTTGAGAAGGTATAGCAATAATTCCTCATTCTCTGGGTTAAGCTCAGCAGCCTTCTCGAGTATGCTAATTTTTTTCTCTAGAGTTTGCAAGCGAGCACCTTTCTGAGGTTGCATGGCTGCAACCTTATCTTGAAATTCAGCAAAATCTAACCAAGCCTTCTCGTCATGGGGATGCTCCCTAGTAAGTTTATTAAACTCCCGAGTTTTTCGTAGCACTTCATCTTCCCAAGATTCCTCGAGATTATTTGATGTTTGAACATCCGACAAAGGAATGAAATCATCCAAGAATGTATCTGAAATTTTTCTAGAAAAACCGATGCGTACACGTTTGAAGTTCTTATGTCGCTCTATGGCTGCATTCTTTGCAGACCAATATCGTCCACCCGATTTTACTTTACTATCCAACGCATCAGCATCAGCATCTCTGAATAAGGCTGAGCCGCTTTTATTCCACTGATAAAATCCATGAACATAAAGTCCAGGTCTTTCCCCAGGGTTGAGTGGCCTGTAACGTGCAACATCCATCCTGTATTGTGATAAAACACAGATAGTGAACTTAAACTTCAAATCTGAAGCAACCAGTTTTGGCTGCTCATCTTCCATGGAAAAAGTGAAAAGACTGATTCTAAATGTCTCGCCAATAGTTCCAAACAGAAAGTTGTTTCCTCTAAATTGCAAACTTCAAATGCCGCTTCTTATAGATTGTAAGTACACTTATGGTTAAAGAGGACCTGAATTCCTAGCTTCAACTTCAGAGAACTATGGGATTGAAAGCTACAATTTTCATCATATGCATTATATATAAAAGATATCATCTTCCACGATCTTCCCCGAAACTAGTAAAAAGAGTTGGATTGGAAGAATCAAAGTACGTTCGAAACCCTTAGAAAAAACAATATGAATACCTGTAAAGAGACCCGAAAGCTAAATTGTCCCGGTCTCCCTGAGAATCGAAGTAATAATCTTTGGAAGGTCTGCTACTGTCGTCGGCCCAAGCTCGAACGTCGGACTTTCTCGAACCATATTCGCCGAAGCCTCCACTTTCTTCGTATTCATTTCGCCTCCTCCTCTTCTTCTTCTTCTTCCTCCTCTCTTTCCTCTTTTCATGCTCGGAATCGTCGTCCGAAGCAGAAGACTCCAGCAATTCGTATGATCGAGAAGACTTCTGCGCCCCAGGTTCGGCACTCGAACCTCCTTCATCCTCCACAGCGTCTTCCCGGTTGGCATCGTCTGAAAGGGCAGAATAGACAATATTTTGAGAAGAAATAGCATCGTCGATGACGGAGAGGTCGGTGGTGAAGCTGGAGTTGCAGAGCCACTGAGGAACGCTTGAATTGGGCAAGGTTCCCTGAGGATTTTGGGGCGCGAGCGAGAGCGGGAAGAGGGAGATTTTGGGGTTTGGGTCTTGAGCTGGTGACTCCTCTTCTGCTGTAGCTTCCAATTCCATGGTTGGTTACGCAGAATTTGCCCGCGAGATGAAAGCCTACGAGGGAAGTGAAAAGAGGCAAAATGTCCAATTCAATCCGTGCGACGGACCCAGCCCCAATCGAGTCGGAAATATATATATATATATATATTATTATTTTTTAATTTGTTGACACGACAAATATTGATACGAGTTATTAACAGCTCTTACTAAAAATATTTAGTAAAATTAATAAAATAACAACTACATTTAATCTTTTCATCTTTTCAAATAGTACTTAAAAAAAAAGGGAGTCAACATTTTATCAAGATGATATATATATGTAATATATCACTTATTTATTTATTTATATATATATAAATATAATACTACTAATATAAGTGGTGGATGATACAATTGCAATATACATATAATATATATATGATATATTATTGATACACGTATTTAATATATTTTTAATATGCATGTCATATATATATAATATACTATTAATATGAATATCTATGCCATATGTATGTGATATACTATATAAGTGAAAATTTTTGTTATATTTGAAAATTTAAAAAATAGGAGACATATTTTGAAATTAAAAAGAATTATCCACCTACCACAATTTCCCTCTAATAAAATAATAAAATGATAATATTATGCAAACTAATTGCTAATAAACTAATACAATTATAATATTATCCAAACGATTCTCATTCACAACTTTTACTTAGACATACTTGTTGATTTATATTATTTTTTTAATACAAAAAGTGCAGTGGAAGATTCGAATTGATGACCTCTTAACTAGATATAGGTGTTAATTACCATGGAACTCATGTTGATGATTTATATTAAAAAAAACTAATAAAATTATTATATTATACACATATTCATTTGCTGCCGTCAAATTTTGCTGTCTTTCATTAATTATAAGGAGAAAAAAAAAGGACAAAAAAATGTCAAACTATATATCGTTATTATTTACATTAAAGTCATTTTAAATTTTTTTTTTCCAAAAAAACCAACATGAATATGTCTCAGTGCTAATTGACATATATTAATTCCCTCAAAGTTGGAGGATCGACCCCTCATATCTTAAATCATCGCACTAAAAAAATCTCCAGAAAAAATGTCAATTCAACGTGAAATGTTTATAATTATATGTTGTTTACGTTTTAGGATTCATTTTAAAATTATAAACATTTTTTTCTATCTTTTATTCTATTGGGAAAAATACATTTTTTGTCTGGAATATGTGTCTATTTGGTCCCTCAAGTTTTAAAATGAACACTTTTGCTCCCTAAAGTTTGAATTTAGTGTCTTTATAGTCCCTCAAATTTCAAAATATACATTTTTAGACAATTGAAGTTTGAAAAATAGTTATAAATGATCTTAAGTTTGAATAATATTAGATGACGGGACACTTTAATTACCGACTCGGTAAAATATATTAATCTAATAATATATTTATGAATAGTTGGACTTTTATTTTTTCAATTTCTTATCTTATTCTCTCCCCCCTTCCACCTTCCCCTTCCTCCCATTGTCCGGTGAAACTCACCGCTGGTCCACCAACTGCCCGATGATCTTCGCCGGCCACGAACCTTGGTCGTTGGCATCTCTCGTTCAAGCTTCATATTTTCGGTTTCGTTTTACTTTCCTTTTTCAATGATTTTGACAACATTTTTTCACTATTCGATAACTTTTTCTATTTTTTCAACGATCCATTTCTTTTCCAGTAGCTTGTTTATCTTTTCTAGCGTATTAATTAAATTATATAATATATATTTTATATTGTTATATGGTTGGTTATATTATAAATACATTTTTAAAGTACTTTTCAATTCTTTTTTCCAACGAACCTTTTTTCTGGTTTTTTAAGAGACCGACGAAATCTTTTGATATAACCTACAGTAGGTAAACATACACTTGTCCAATATTTTTATTATTATATATTAAAATATTAGATTATATAATATATACCTACCTAACAAATATAAAAAAGAATATACTCAATAATCAATATATCTAACATATACTTCATAATAGACTCCCTAAGATTTGGGGTTGGTTAAAAGGGTGAAATAAAAATTTCAGGCATCATTTGGTTGTGTAAATGGGGTTCCAATGACTTTGAGAGTTGCCATTTGGAACAAGATCCAAAACCAGCCATCGCCTTGTTTCCCAAATCCCTCCTCCGGTGAGAGCAAGCATCCGGCGACAGCAGCAATTGTTCCAACCCACGCAACCTTCCAGCAGCGAGACACAGAATGGTGGTGCGAGGATATGCAACCCATGCAAGTGGCTCGCCGGCAGCAATCTAGGAATAAATGCGTAAGGCTCGTTTGATAACGTCATTGTTTCTTTATTTTTAATAAAGATAAATGAATTGCATAGCCTCGACATCTATGAATTCGAGTGTGATAAAATAATATTCTTATTTATGTTTTGGAACAAATTAGAAATGTGACAAAGAAATAAGAAACTTGTTTTAATCGTTTTCAAAATTTCTATACAATTTTGAGACTGTTCTCAAAAAATGAGAAACAAAAGATATAGTTAGATGTAAAATGTTTAGGTTTCTTAAGAAATTTGAAAACGAGAAACGAGAGTGTTACGAAACAGAGTCCATAGTGACTCAAATCTGCGGCTTCGTTCCCCAGTCGATCAAAAGAGGAAAATGGTAGAATTTAGGAAAAATTGAAATGGGATGTCGGAGAAGAATATATATGGAAGGGAGAATAAACAAAAAGAATCTTTTAATACAACGTCATAAAAAGTTTTTTTTTTCATTACTAATATCTAAAATATTCTCACACTTTTTTCTTAGTTTTCATTAACGAAGGATACAATTGCAAATTTAATACTATTAGGAATCTAGACCTACATAAAAATTTTATACTTCTAAATTTTTTTTAATGATTTGGATCCCTTCATTGTTTGTGGTTCACAACATTACGCACTCAATTTTTTTCTTTTTTTTGTTTGTTGGTGAGTTAAAAAGATTCAACCATGTGACTCGTGTTATTACTTAACATCCATTGGTTATAACTTGACAAAGAGTAAGAAATATCAACTTAGTGTCAAATTTGGTTGCTCCCCTTACAATTTTAATTTTTTAAGTTAGTCTAAAATTTCAATATATATTGCATTAGAAATCATTTAAGAAACAAACCATGATTTTAGAAAAAAAGACGACAAAACTTGTCAAATACCTCCACATTTTTACTTTGAACATAGGCTTCATAATATTATCATTCCTGATATTTTCCCTTATCTAGCAAATATAAAATTTGGTCAGAGAAAACACAAAACCAATAAATTTTGATCTTTTATGTATGTATATGTAATTATATATAGTTACATATATACATGGACATGAAAGGGCAGTGATGGAAGAAATGATTTTGTGGGTATCCAATTGACCATTTTGGCCATGGTAGGAAGGTGAGGAGGGAGGGGCAATGGGGGGAATTTGGGTGGGGATAAAAAACGAGTGGCTGATGGGAAGGAGACTGTAGAAGTGAGGGAGGGTGCAGAAAATTCACGTGATTGGATGGGGAAAGTGAATAAAAACAAACAAATAAGTATGGCTTCGGGTTTGGCAATTGGGCATAGAATGAGCGGTGGTGGAGCTGCGCTATAAATTATAATGCAAAACATCATAATTCATTACGCAAATGCCGACGGGAATGAAATCGACACTACACCCCATAGCCGTTTGGCTTTACTTTACTTACGTACTATTTTCTTTTTCTTTTTCTTTTAACATTTTCAAATTTGAACCCAATAATACTCCGTCACTTGTCTCCCTACTTACTACCATTAAAAGAGAATAAATCTCTCACGTCTCTCCCTTCTTTTGCATGACTCTTTTCATTTTTGTCAAAAATATAACGGTTGTCGTTATTGATATTAGTGATCTCATGTTGAAAAGATAAGAGATCTAACATGAATATTGATATGATATTTGCACCAAAAAGTTCAAACAAGAATGCGGTAAAAAATAAAGGGATCTGGGCAAAGATTTGCGAGTTAGGAAAAGTCACCGGGTTGAAGGTTTGAAATGTGCTTTAATGAATAAGACACTTAATTTCAAAAATTGAAATTTGAATTTTTTTTTTCATCATTTGATATTTAGGGGAAGAAATATGCCACTCATTTCGCGGTCATAACATAGCTACTACACTTGTAATATCTTGAAATATGTTTGGAATCTTTTGAAATAGTAATTTAATGAATAATATTTAGATGTTTATTGGTCCATAGATACCTCTCTTCTCTTATTTACTATCTTTAAAAAGTTGTCAGATAAGAGATATAAAATATTTTTTTTATTCCATTTTCTTAAAAGAAAAAAAGTTGACAATTAAAAAATTGGTGTGGGTAGAAAGATACCTACTGCCTACAGATAATTATTTTAATTTATTTTAATTTATTTTTTCTTTAATTTGGGATTGGTACTCAAAAACTATGTCATTTGTTTTTATCATTTTCCAACTTATACCCATTTAATGTATGTTTAAATTTTCGTAGGAGCGCATGATCAATACATTTGAAAATTTTGTCAAGATTTTGTTATCCAACGTCGAATTTATGTAAGTTTATATGTGTCCACATTGAAATTAGAAAATTTAAGATTACCTAGCTTGTACTAACGAGTTTCGGAAATTAACGTAATTTGTCTCGTACACTCGAAATAAAATTTAATTTCTTATTGGGAAAATTTATGTTGATTATGAATGTGGTAAGTTTATATATATATATTTAGTTTAAGCAATTTGTTTTTATATTTGTTATGTGTGGAAAATACATCCAACCTAAAATGCTAATCATGAACAATAATGGTAAGTGCCCAATAATTTAATTTTTGACATATAGTTTCATAGAACAATTCTAAAAATAGTTAAAGCAAACTCAAAGAACAAACATTATATTATATCTCGCTTAAAAACAAAATTCAAACCAACACTCATAACTCATAAGTACTAAGTGAGGTTATTGGTACGTAATCATTTCGTTTTTATGCGTTTTCTTTTTATTTATTTCGAAAATAGTTTTGAAATCTTACAAAATTGAAAACTAAAATAGCTGATCACAATTTTGATTAATTCTTATTTTACATATCCCATGTGGGGAATCATTTTTCCTATTTCGAGCTTTAAAAATATATATTTAAGATTTATAGCGTATTACTAATTAAAATTATATCATTTCCACATAGCTTTAATCATTTTCTTAATGGAATATAGTGATGCCAAAATGCTTAGTTTGACGCTTTTAAAATTTTTGTTTCTTCGCGTAATTAAAGTTTCGTATATTTTCTATTGTTTTTAATGGTGAATTGGTAAAAGAAAAACAAAAAATAATCATGTGAGGCGTAAAAGAATTCGACCAATTTAGGGGGTAAATGAGAATGAACTAATAATTGAAGGATGAAACTGAAAAATGGTCAATAATTCAGAGATCAGAGCCTGTGTTCACTGTTCTGTTCTCTACGCATGGTCAGTGTCAGTAATTTTCATGAAAATTTGGGGAGAAAAAAAAAAGAGCACAGAAAAAGAAAGTAAAAAAAGGAAGACACAGAAACACACTTTTTTTTTCCTGGAAGAAAATTAGTTTTATATAAATATATAATACAGCGGAAAAGCCCATATAGACCCTCTTAAGCAAGAATAAGAAAGGGATCTGAAAGGAGAAATTAGGCCTCTAATAAAATCACATCTGGAGGATTAATTAATTTAATTGGAATAATTAATTAATTAATCTTACTGCGTTAGAGAAGAGGCATTTCCAGTGGAAGCTGCAGAAGTAGAAGAGAAGGCATTTTTGTGATTGTGCATCCAAACCTTGAAAACTTGGCGAGTGACGCCCACGCTCCGGCAGAACCTCTCGATCTCGTCGTCGAGATCTTTCCTCTGCAGCTTCCAGCCCAATTTCTCGGCAAATGCGAGCATCTTGTCCTTCTGATCGGGCGTGAACTTTGTGCGGAAGCGCTTCTTTCCGGTGTCGGCGGCGGGGGAGTACTCGACGACGGCGTGGCGGTCGTAGTCGATGTTGAGGGCGTCGTCGGAGGCGGAGGCGCGTGGGGCGACGATGTAGGTGAGTTTGCGGTGGAAGTTGCGGTGGCAGCCGCAGGCGGCGCAGTGGAGGTGGTTGGGCGGAGAGGAGGCGTCGTCGAGGGTGAATTCGCCGCAGCCGTCGGTGGCGTAACTGCCGAGACTGGCTGCATGGTTTCGAAGGCATTCTCTGTAATGGTAGTTCGAGTTCTCTCCCTCCATTATCTCTAATTTTTGCTCTCTCTCAAGAACAATGTCGGAATTTTTATTTTTATTTTTTTCGATTGAGTGTATATAATGGGAATATGGGGCTTTTGGGGATGCCAAACAAGCCCTAATGAGAAAGAGAGAGGGAGGGGTTACATAAATTTGGGTTAAAGATAAAACTTTTATGTATGTATATTTCATGTACACATGCATGTGTATGTTTATATATGTATGTATTATGTGCATATACATACATATATATATATATATGCAAAACAAAAGCTATACAACATTTTACAAAAAAAAAGCTAAATTTATGGAATGGGCCTAATATTTTAGCCAGGTGTCGTTGATTTTATTAATTAATATTCACGATTACGAACATTTTTGGGTTTGATACTAAATTAAAATATTCATGGGTTTCGTCTAAAAATCAATTGATAACAAGAGGAGTAATCGATGTCTATTATAAACCTTTTGTTAGGTCTCTTATGTTTTCAAGATGGAATCTCTGACAGATTTGACTAAACCTTTTAAAGCTCTTAGTTTTATATTGATGATTAGGTAAAATGTTATCATGGGAAATGATTTTTGTGATTGTTTAATCTAACGTAATTAATTACTTTAGAGATAAATCTCATGCAAAAGTACTTAAATAAAAACATGATATATATAATTTTAATTAAATTCCAAGAAAAATTTTGAGTCTTTTATTATATAACAAAATTTAAGATTTCACAATTATTTGCCTATAAAAAAGAATAGTTTGAGCTATGTTTATATGTCGTTGCCCTCAATTTATAGAACTGTACAATCATATAAAAAAAATTAGATTGTAAAATTTTGGCCCTCCTAACTTTGCCATTGTTAAAAAATATTTTTTTATGAGCATTTAAAGTGAAATTAATGTATTCTAGTTAAATAGATTTATTTGGCCTGCGGAAGTATAATGACCAGAAGGACGAGCAAGATATGAAAGGGGGAAGAATCTTTATCTTGGGCCTTGGCAGACATTTTTGAAAAAAAAACATTATGGTATATAATGGCTTGGTTCATGAACACAGACAGAGACATTACAATATTTGAATTGTTGAAAAAAAAAAAAGAGTCAATAAATATTAAGTATTAAAGACAACCTGTGTCATTGTCGAACTAATCTTTGCAAGATTTTTCAAAAAAGAAAAGAGGAAGAAGGGAAAAAAAAAAAAGCAACAGTCCCTTCTATTGTAATTTTGGACTGTTACGGTGGGCTTTAGTGTCCAATAAAAAAAGTTTTGGAAACTTGTCAGCAGACCCGTGAACCATTCGGGTTTTCCGGCAATAATTCACCCCCGGAAATATACCCAACAATAATTGCAGTAATTTTTAACGTACCGTTTTTTTTTTCATTTCTAATTTTATTTTATTAGGACGCTTAAGTATCTAACTACTATTTATATTTTTTCTTAGTCGTTTTTTTGAAATATTTTCAAAATTGTATAAAAATTTTGTAAACAATAAAAATAAGTTTTATCATTATTGAATCTATGAGTGTTACGATGCAATTCAATTTTTTTTTATAAAAAACGAGAAAACAGAGGTAAGAAACGAAAACGTTACTAAACGGGCTCTTGAATCCCCATCACCGATATGTTATATTCTAAAGACAAAATACAAGTAAATAATTTTAGTAATTTCCACTCTATGGAGTTCAAAACAAAAATATGGGTTCACGTAATTTGTTGAAATTATGTAATAAAATGATTACACTTAATTTTTAAGTTTCTAGTTAAGGAATATTTGTATATAATATAAAGTATGGATTTTAATTATTAGAGTTTATATAGCATGTTGGATTCACCCATCTTATTTTATTTATTGCAACAAAAAGGGAAGGTGAGAATCTAAATCTCCAAATTTAGAGAAATAATCGGTATGTAAGTTTACTCATAGAAGGTTGATAAGATTAACAAATTCATTGAAATATTAAATATGGACCACTTTCCAACATTGAGTAAAATTAACAAATATGACCCTTGAGCAGAAAATCCATGAATTAGATTTTAATTTTGTTTTTATATTTTGTAAGCTAAGGATTTTGGTTAAAATCATCATATATTGGAGTAACATCTAACAAACGCGTTTCTTATTATTAGACTTGGAGTAAATAAAACTTCATTAATTGATCGAGAGTCTATGATTGATAGTAGAGTTACAAAGCTATTGTACTATGTAACAAAAAAAAAAACGAATTACGAATTCTAATACTCTCCTCAAAATGGAGTGTGAATATTCAAGACACCCATCTTGGATAACAAAGTAGTAAAAGATAAAGAAGGGAGTGACTTTATAAAATATCAGCGAGACAGGATGCAGAACAAACAAGGATGAGCTTGATAAGTCCTGAAACAATATTATCACGAACGACGTGGTAGTCTAACTCGATGTGTTTGGCCCTCCCAGGAAACACATAATTGATGGCAATACGCACTGCTGCTTGATTATCACAAAATAAAAGATTGAGTCGGTGGTTGAAAAGATATATGTAACTTATCTAACCAATGAGAGCATATTAGACTTAGAGTAAATAAAACTTTCTTGACTTCATTAATTCATCAAGTGTCTAATAAATAGACTGATATTACAGGAGCTTTACAAAGCCATAACTAACTATGGTAATTACAAATAACTAATTACAAAGTCTAATATTTATTATGTTTTACAATGATAACTAAATTATTCTTCATAGGAAGTGTGATGATACATTAATAGTAATTAATTTCCAAAATGTAACAAAATTTTAATATTCATTATACACATGAATTAAAAACAAGTTTTGAGTAAAATATATATTTTTTGATACCGGTCTTTCAAGTTTCAAACAACTCTTTCAGAATCATTAATATAACTTTTCTCAAGAGGACTAATTATGATATATAGTTTGTTTAGCTATGTTAAATCAATTAATTAAGGGTATTAATTATCCTATTTTAGTCATCTCAATCATGGATTCCCACTCACTCATAAGAACATCAAACAATAACAACACAATATAATATATTAATCATAAATTAGAAATCATAATGATCAATTATATAAATATAATTACCAAGAATAATTATCACGTAAACTATATGATAAATTAGGTTCCCTATTGATGCATGCATGCACCTCTACGACTTTGAGATGCATGCGCGAAGTGGTTAATAATTAATTAATGGTTATTAGTTAATTAAGTATAAAGAGTGTGGGGTCGTCGTTTGTTGAGTTGAGAACTTGAGAACATAACTATTAACTAATTAATAATTAGCTAAAGAATGTGAGGAAGTGGTCGCAAATTAATGTATTATATTATATATGTAGCTTTGACTTAGATTCTATGTACCTTTTGGTTTAATTTTCTCAAAAAAAAAAAAAAATTATTGACCATTTGACAACTAAGTTTTGCTATAAGAGTAGAATTTATAATATAAGCTTTTGGAATATATATATATATATATATACACGCAGTGGTTTTTTTTTTAATATAACTTCTAGTATTTTAGTTTGAGGGTAGATTTCCTATTTGGTCTCAATATTTCAAAAACGGACATTTTAGGGTCTATTTGATAAAGTTCATTCTTTGTTTACCTTTTTCAATTTTTTTTATAAGAAATCTAAGCATTTTGCAATTAATTTTTTTTCTTGTTCTCATTTTCTATTGGTTCCAAAATATAATAAAAAAAATTGTTTTATCATATTTGAATTCATGGAGGTTGGCGAACAATACAATTCATTTTTTTTTATTAAAAATGAAGAAACAGAAACATTACCCAAAGAGGTCCTTAGTTACCAACTTTGAAAAATAGTTCTAAATGGTCTATGAGAACAAATTAACGCTAGTGTATTTAACATAAATATGACGGTGGGTTAAACTTGGTGAGTGAACTTTACTAACTTAGATTTTTTAAATGATCGAGGCATTAAAAATATATATATTCATTAATTTGTTTTAGGATTGTTGTGGTCATTTTTCCCTTCTTAAGGTCCCTTTTCTTTTCAATGTGGGATCCTTAACATGCCCCCTTAAGATCGATGGATCGGATGCTCGTTTGAGCTTGTTGGGCTCTGATATCATATTAATATTCATGGGGTTCCATCTCAAAACCAATTGACTATGAAAGAAGTAGTTCATATCTATTATAAACCATTGTAAGGTCCCTTTTCTTTTCAATATGAGATCCTTAACATACTCTTTTTACCTTCACTTCCCAATCATTTCCTCCTATAGTCGCGACAATTGTTGCTAACTCATGCTACTGTTGCCTCAGTCGTTCCTTTTCTCCCAAAGCACTATAAATATTCATAGGGTTTTATCTTTAAAATTTAAAATGGTAATAAGAGGAGAGCTCATCTATTTATAAACATTGTTGAGTCCGATGTGAGATCCTAATTAACATGCCTCTCAAGATGATGGCTCTTTTGGAATCATAACATCTTGGTCGAATCCTTTAATTTTTTTTGGATCGCATGGTCGTTTGAGCTTGTTAGACTCTGATACCATCTAACTATTCATATGTTTAATATCAAAACTAATTGACAATGAGAGAAGTAGCCTATTTATAAACCTACCACTCTCTCACATTGTTTCTAGAGACCATTTATCTAAAATTTTGTAAAGGTTGAAGAATAACAGTGTTAGTTTTTGGAAACTAAAGACACACAATAGAAACATATCCTAAAACTTGATACAAACTAGAAATATAATTTTAGAAAATAAAATTCAAAAGTGTATTTTATCTTTCTTTTCCCATCTCTTTTATTTTCTAATTTTAGAAAATAAAAGAAAAGAAAATAACATTGGACAGTTTTTGTTCCTTATTCATGTATAAACAAAAATGAGTTGGGAATCTATATTTTTAAAAATACCTATTTATAATTTCTTGCTTATAAGCAGAAAAGCTAAATTTAGTAATTTTTTAAATTTATTAGACAGTTTTTAAATTTTTTAAAGTTATGATACGAATTAGTGCAATTTTTTAAAGTTCATATGACTGGATGTTTTTGTTCGGTCCATTCTTCTCCCCCTATTTTGTATTTTATTTATTTTTAACCATGTTCATGTTGAAATACATATTTATAATTAATTAATTGTAACGACATTTTTTAGAAAAAGTTATATTTTTAAAGGGTATTACTACAAGGAAAATTAATTAATTTAAAATATAATGTAAAATAGAAAATAAAAAAACAAAATCTCTAGTCAAATTGGCTAAAAATGGAAGAAGCCAAAAGGCAAATTTATTTAGTTGTTTCTGTTTATCTTATACCTTAAAAAAGCTTAGGTGTCATGTAATAATATAAAGAAATTATTTATATATTTCATCATATAAATAAGTGCATATTGAAGCATGTTTTTAGGTTAAATAGAATAGGTGTTTGGAAATAAGGATAGGCTAGCCAGTTTTGTCTGCAATTCAGTGGACAGCATGGCTGGAAAATTCTGGTTTAGTCTTTGGATTTTTCATACACAATCAGACACTAAACTTATTCCAATCACTTCAATATTCAAACGCTAATATCTTACTTTATTTTACGCAGAGTTTGTCCCAAAATTTTGACCAGAAAAATAAAATTATGAAGGAAAATTAATTATTAAATATAAAATTCCCATTTTGATGGATGCTTGTGATTTGCGGCATTCATATATGCGTTCACATCCATGCATGCATTCACACACATACATATACACGTATGTGAACTTTGGATTAAAATTAAAAATTAAATATAACGAATTGAAAATTGAAAAATCAACTTCTAAGACGATAGAGATTGCTTACAGAAATGGTGAACTCCACAAAGCTTGGACTTAGATGAGGCCGAAGAACGAATGAACCTGTATATTAGAGAGTAAAAAGTTCTGACGTTCAAACCAATACTTATCCAATCTATACTCATAAAGAAAATATAGTTTCGCGTACTGAAAAATGAGGTGTGCAGCTTTATTTGTAGGCGTTCAACTTCATACAGCAGTTCAGGAGCGGTAACGACCGTCACATAAATCACGACGTACTGTCGAAAAGACGGCTGAACGATTTTGTGATATAGCTATGAATCAAGGACGAGGTAATGCATGGACGAGCTATGAATTGAAGATGAGGTAATCCGTGACTGAGATATCACTTATGGCCGAACTATCTCTTTTGGTTAAAGTATCTCTTATGGCTGAGCTATCCTTTAAATTGATATATTACTCTTCAAAAAATGGTCGATTCGAGACTTCCTACCTTAACTTATGGTCAACTCTTCTTATCGACGATTCACGTGTCACGTCATCTTTTATGACTTAAAAAAACTAAATTAAAATTAAATTAAATCATAGAAACTAAAATTGAAACTTTAAAACTATAATACCCAACTTTAAAATTTAACCAACAAAAAAAACTTTTTTATCCTTTTATAGATCTATATATATTTTAAAATAACATATCATAAATGTTTGATTAATCATTTCTTTTTTAGTACAATACGTGGGTGGAAAATAGAACTCACAATCTCTTAGTTAAAATATATACCAATTACTGTTGAACTAGGTTCATTTTGGACCTTTCACGACGTTTGGTTAATTATATATTATATATATCCCGGATGGTACTCGTATATATAAAGAAATACGGTGTGTTGGTTGCCACGTGGTTTATCATGCATGCACCCGACCGAACTCCAATAATCAAATTTAACTTTCCAAACATTACAGAGCGATTCCAACTCCATAACTCGACAACTTCTGTTTCCAACTGTTTTCCTTATTTAAATCAACTTAATCATCCTAATACACAACATTCTTCTTCTTCTTAATTTCTTTAATGGCAACATGTCTCGTTCGATTCACTTCTTCTTTTTATTTATTTTTTCATGAATTTACTAGTTGGTTTAATTTGATCGATAATATCATTTACTTTTACTGACAAAGAAGACTAGAATTCTTAAATCAAAAATTTAAATTAACTGCACCTTAGTTGGGATTGCAAAGTGGATTCCTTTTGCCGTATTGAAATTTTGTTGGCATACATCATTTTAAAAATTTATCTACGAATTAATCAATAAACTACCTAAAAGGTAACAAATAGAACTTTCAAAATCTAGGTAATTAACCAAATGTTCGAAATCAAGTCAAAACAAGTACTTCAATTATAAGAGAGATAAAAATAAAGAGCTACAACCAAGAAAATACCTTAATCTAGCTGCAAAATTAATAAGGTGAAAAAAATGTAACCAAAAGACAAATAAAATTTTCACATTTAGGTACAAGTATCTAACGTGAGGCTAAATAATTCATACCAAAAAATGTTTCACCCAACCGCAGCACCTTTTTTTTTTTTTTTTTGATACATATATATAGTGTTAATTTTTATTTTTTTAGTTCAAATAATATTACCTCCTTTAAGTTTAGAATTCAATATCCCAATTTTTTTTTTGAAAAAAATTCAATATCACGAAATTGAAAATTGGTAATAGAAAAAAAAATCTCTCTAACAAAATTGATTGGCAATAAATTCACATCCTTTTAAATATTAACTAGTATTAAAAACTCTAAGCCAATATATGTTGTAAAATAAAACAACGCTTGTGAAATAAGTAGTTTTTCTTATGTTGCTTACACTAGTGGATTTTTATAATCAAGACTCATTGTTTGAGCTGAGTAACACTTAGACCTCATGATAGGTGGTACCTCAAGGTCCCAAGTGTTTACCACTATACCATCCTTGGGATGGAAAAGAAAAAAAAAATTATTATTAGTCAAAGTTATTAGATTTAAAAAAAAGGATGTAAACAATAAAACAACTATCCCCACTTTACATACAATATATTAATAGTATTTCTAAAATGTCATAAAAATGTGAAATATAAGGTTTTTTAGACAACAAGTCAGGGGTATGAGGTTCGAACCTCCGATCTCAAAAAAAGGAACATATGTCGATTACCACTAAACTAAGCTAAAAAAACATAAGTATTTTTAAATGCACATTTTCTTTTTAAAAACCATACAATTTCATTAGAAATATTAAGGAATTGTCTCAATGTATGTCTTCAAATTGTTTAGACAGATGTAGTCTATTCTATTGTATTTTTATTATTTTCTCTATATATTTATTTCACAACACCCCATATTTGATTAAAATTATGCTTATTGACTTTAATTTAACGTAATCTAACTAGTAAAGATACTAATTCCACTATTGAATCCCTCTTGAATTATTAACAACTAATTTTAAAATATTAAAAAATTATATAAAAATAACGTAATGCAGCAATGCTATTTATATTTAAAAAAAACCAAGTTTTCCCATTAAAAGGCTATTTTTAATTTTAAAAAGAAAAAATCTCTCGATTATTTTATTTTATTTATTTAAAGTTTTCTTGTTCATCCAAAAACTGTTAATTTTAGTTACATATATATAAACATCTATATAATTTTAGGTTCTGTAATATACGAGGCGAGCATCGTGACCCAAACAGTGACACCGATACTATCGTACTGCGATTGCAGCTGAGTGTCCTCCATGGCCACTGCTTTGGCTGCGCTTCAATTCGCCTTCGTTTCTCCAGCCACTTCCAAAAAGTTCGCATATCCCGTAAGTTCACTGTTGTTCTTCTGCTGGAAATTTACTTCCAATTTTTGTTTAATTTCGACGACGCACTGGCTTTAAATGAAGCGATTATTGCTCAAATTCCAATTAACTAGCTGAATCGCTTGTTTGGTGCTTCAATTTGTCTAACAAGCGAGATTATAGTTCGTCATTTCGTTTATCGCTACTATTTTTTTTTTTTGGTTTTAAACACAAAGTGGGTGTTATTCAGCAGTTTTTCAGCTCTTCTGGGCGTAGGAATGGCGTACAATTCGTGCATTGTGCAAATGCTTCCATTTCAAGAAATGGCCGAGGTCCCTTTCTTCTATCTCCGTTAGCTCTTTTTGTGAATTGAATTTCTGGTATGACGGAGTGAGTTTCAGGTGCTTTTGATCCAGAGTTGCGTTCGGTGCTTGAACTCGCAACGAATTCCGAATTGTATGAGCTTGAACAAATCCTCTTCGGTCCCAGGTTGGTTTCCTTTCCTTCATTTGTAGCATTGTTTAGAAGTATTTTAGCTCCCAATTAGACTTTGAGCTTTAATACAGACGATAATTGGTAATATGCCAAAGTATGTTTGGTGGTATCTGTTTATCTAAAATTTAGGCAGTTGGACAAGGGTTCAAATTGCATGTAGCCACCAACCTATGATAGAAATCATAGCATTTCTTGATAGCTGGATGTTGTAGGGTCTTGCGGTCTATCTCGTTGAGGTGCGCGTATGTTGGTCTGGATACTCACCGTATGTAAGAAAATATTAGGCAGTGGGGGAAGGAGGAAGGGAACGCGTTTTATCATGAATTTCTTGATTTCCAGTTTAGTTTGAGGTGGCTGATCTTGTATTGGTGACATGCAGTTACTTCAGCCCTTTGATGAAGTCGATTACAAACAGAGGCCAAACTGACTATGCCATGATTGAGGAAGACCTTGAAGAGAGAGATGATTTTATTTCTATGCTAGAGTCTCGATTCTTGTTCCTAGCTGCTGATGCCCGATCGACATTAAGGTTACAAAATGCCAATTAGTATTTATACTGAATCCATATTGCTTGGTGTGTGAGGTCACAGATTGAAATTTCTTGCAACCATAACATTACCGGGTTGTATGTACTGGAAATGTTTGCACAAGTTTACTATACCTGTAATTAACCTGTGCCAAGTTGAAAGATGGTTTTCTTGTTTTTATGCGAATTTCATTTCAATTATATGAATTTATTTCATATGTTGTTCTTGGAAGGGGTTGGAGACCATCTTATAGAGATGTCTTGCTTACAGTGAGAAAGAAGTTAAACGTTCCTTGCTCAACCAAGTTGTCATCTGAAGACCTTGAAGCAGAAATCTTTCTTCATTTGTTACAGGAATATTCAAGGTACTTTATGATATAGGCCTGCATTTTAAGGTTGTAGAGGGTTCGAAGAGAACTTAAGATTTGATCATTTGATTTGACCATGTAAAATTTGGATGTCCGTGAGTATAGCTTGATCGGCATCACTGCATAACATTGATACAAACATGTATTTATCAATAATTGAAAATCAATTTAAGTTTTAGGAGTCATGGTTAATGAAGATATAAATTAAGTCAATTCTTTAAGGAAGCATGCTGCCAAAACTAGAAGGTTTACAAACTGGCGATCATGTACTATGATGGTGAATTAGATTAGGTAATCATCTCAATTTAAATATTTGTAAGTAAAAATGGATGTAGTACTAAAATCATCAGTGTCAATCATTTTAGAAAAATCTAGAACTTTATGAACTACTCAAAGCCCTTTAACGTTACATTTCTTTCAAAGCTCTAGATTTATGATCCATTAAATATGGTATTGTACTAACTAATTAATTGAGTTTCATTTAGTCCAGTGCATGTTTTCATGTGTGTATGTTGGTAAGTTGGAAAACTTTGTCCTTGCCCATGTAGTGAAGAATCAGTAAGGCAGTCTAACCTTGAAGGCAGTCTACAACTTGGACTCGATCGGTGGAAGGTCCAAACTTTAGCAGCTACAGATGGAGCCTCTGACCTGCGGTCCCTGATATTAAAGGCCCTGATTTCATAGATATCTTCTTTCATGCCATGTTTCAGTTCTCATTAAACGCCATTGTTTTCTCATTTCTGACATCTCTATCTTTCTCTCTCAACAGGGTGGTAGTCTGATAACTGCGGTTAGAATGTTTCAAATGGTAAGAATACGATTATTCTATTTTATTCTGATATTATTTTTTTCTCAAGAAGCTTTCCCCTTGTGGCAGTTTGCTAGGACATTATCTGGGAAGGTGTTCAAAGAAGCTGCCAACTATCAAATTAAAAAGGAAATTATCAAAAAGGTACTAGGTGATGCCTAAACTATTCTTGATATATGGAACTGGAAATAAATGTCGTAGCTTAGACCTTAGAGTGCACAGCTTAAAGCAATTGAGAATGTCTTCCTTTGCTTTTCATGCTCCTGCAGTCCAATTGGTACCTTTAACTTGGAATTTTGCTTTCTGAGCTTGATTTGCTTTACTGTAGTTGCAAAGGATTTGGCTTATATTTGGTGGAATAAATTGTTTTCCATGGGAACAAGGAATCTCTTTTGAAAACATGGAGCTTCCGCCATGGGAACAAGGAATCTCTCTGAAAACATAGAGGGTGGGCAGGGGGAAAAGTTTCTACCATCTCATTTTAGAATAGGGATGAGGACCACATTCCTTACCCTTGATCTTGGCCTAGAAAGTAAATCTAAAACTAATATCTATTTATCGATAGAATTAGTATATATACATACAGTTAGTGAAATGTAATTATCATTTATTACTAGAAATTTCAGCAGGAATGGAGCTTTGAGGGGATCTCTTTCTAACTAAGAATTCTCATTCACAAGGAATGAGGATGGAGGGAAAGAGGCTGAGTATGTCGTTCTCAAACCTGAAGTGGACTTATGTCATCCGTATTAAATAGTTTGCTATAAAACATTGACAAGTTTTATGGCTTTTTATTTAATTGCATAACCTTGCTGCTTGTTCCTTCAATGCGCGCTAATTTGTTTTTTGCACTATTGTTGGGTGCATTGGTTTACGAACTAAAATTTAAGCCTTTAACTCTTAAATGTTACCCGCATAACTGAAAAATCAATAAAACATTATATGATGTCGACTGCTTACCGAGTTTGAGGAAAAGAAAGTTTCTGATAGGCCTAAGCCTCAATTGTATTTATCAACACAAGCGAAGGGAGATTAGAGAGCTCCCTAACTCCCCCAAATCTCAACAAAGAATACAAAGTCAAAACTATGAAAAAATATACCTCGAGATAGTCAACTCCCTCTACCATATACCCCTATGGCCCACACATAACTAACAAATATTCTCTACGTGTCCACTTACTAGTGCGCAATGCTCCCCCTCAAACAGACTCCCTCTTCCTCACACGTTTATGTTGGTATACTCTAGTAATTTGGGGTCTATCACTTTCATCCCCTAGTAACCAATTTCTGTACCAAAACTTTGATGTGCATTTGGCTTCTGAATTACATGTTAGAAAGTTCTCCCTTTTCTAATGAAGTGAGTGGTAACAAAAAGTTCTACAAAATCAAGATCTACTTCTAATGGATGAGAGATACCAAGTGAGTCAGACTCAAACTGCTTCGGTCATATCCTTGCTGTAATTTTCCATTTCTTAGCCATTCAATATAAATGAGAGTTGTTCCACCGTTTAGTTCTTAATTACCTTATAGTCAGTGCACTATCTTTTCACTTTTTTCTGCAGACTGAAAGTTAAAAATGAATATCGTCAATAGCAATATGATTGCTGAATTAGTAAGACTAACACAACCTTTATTCTTTAACTTCCTGACTTTTTAGGGTGGACAATTAGCTGCAGCCAATCTTGAGTCAAGAGTGGCCTTGCTCGTTGCCCAAAAGGTGAGCATACTTTTTTGCTCTTTGGCCATGTGTGTTACACGTCAATACATGAATTTGGGTGCAGGTCTCATGTGGAACCAATTAACGTATTTTGAAACTTATATAAATACAACATTTCCGAGCCCTTTGACCTAAATTAATGATCATCGAAGCATCGCTTTGAGTGGAAACAGTTTAGCTTTAGCCCACTGGTATTTTCCCATTCAGCTTTATCTTCTTTGAGTATTGAGATATCTAGTTCTTGCAATTTGGGACAGGGTCTTGCAGGTGCTGCTTCAAGATATCTGGGTTTCAGAAGCGTGATGACTTTGCTTGGCCCAATGTAATTACCTCTTCTGAAATTCACTTGATGACTTCATGCCTTCAATTTTTCTCACTCTCTCTAAAAGTGAACTGGGGAAGAGAGGATGCTTACTTTCAGTATTCTTACGAATGATTTCGGTTTCAAAATGCCTGTAAATTGAAAATTTTGGGTAGTAGATCAGTCAGATGAGCTTAACTTTATTTCTTTTTCGTTCAAACATAGTCAAGTTCATGACTTTATGTGTGAGATTTTATTGCATCCATGAATTTATGCTTGATGTAATGTGTAGCCCTGATTTTTATGACTTAATGCCAACACCATAGTATAACTACTTGTATCTGATGCAGGTTTTGGGGAACATTTCTGGCGGATATTGTCATTCAAATGATGGGAACTGATTATGCTAGAATATTACGAGCAATTTATGCTTTTGCACAGGTAATCTTCTCTTCAATTAGGTCCAAATTATGTTTATTACCGGTAGAACTTTTAATATTGGTTTCTCCACAATTAAATAAACTTAAGCTTTTAAAGCTTTTCCTCGATTGAGGGTATTTCAACAAACCAAAATGCTCAGTTTTGGTTTGGTTTAAATGCTTGTGTGTTCCAAATCCGCTTGAGTTTTAAAACAAAAAGCCCCTCGGCACCCGGCCGACTCTATGGTGAGATGCATCATTGAACTGAAAAAAATTAAAACATTTGTATCTGAAAAATTAAATTAAATTTCACTTATACGTTTTAATTATTTCAATACATATGATATTTTGTTTATATTATATCTACCAAACTTATTTCAACCCTAAAAAGAAAACAATAAATAAGAAATAGTCATCGATTCTATTTTTCAAGAAATGGAAATGATTACCAAACATATTTTTAATTCTACTTTTGAAAAAGCTAGAAGCGAGAAATGGAAGATAGGAATCACGTTACTAAACGAGCTTGAAACTCGAGAAATCTTAGTATTATTGATTTTTTTGGTCTCAGATCCGCATTACTCGCACGTATAGACTATCATCGTCTGCGAGCGACGAAAAGAGAGTTTAAGCTTTCAGATGCTGCATTACATTAAGATCTTGCTTGGCTTCTCGAACTGCGTCTCTCTGTAGTGGTTTTCTTGTTGCCCATCATCACCACCTAGAATACAAACCTTTGATTAAACAAGCTTTTTGAATGCCTCCATCGTTGTATATATCAAGCTCACTTGAACTCACATATCCAAATATTTTGTATTTTTTCCACTTGTATTTGCCATTTGATCTGCTAAGAGTTTAATTAGCAACATAATGGATGTTTATATTAAAAAATTCACGATACAAGCCATCGTGTGGAAATGACTTTATATACCTATATCATCGGTGGTTTAGGTTGGATTATAAACTTGTTTGGATTGAGTTGTTCAAGAATCAATGATTCATTTTAAAATTAATTATTTTATCTTACTGTATTTTAATTTTATTTCATTCAATAATTGTTTTTGGATTATTTATTATCCAAAACTTATAAGAGCAACTTTTTAAGTCTTTGGAGTTTATTTTTTCATTGTATAAATTAATACATGGACTTACCGACCTTGATTAAATGTTAGAAAATGTGTAAATAAATGTTTAAAATATTAACATCTTTTTTTGTTATATAATATTTTGGATGAGTGACTCGAGTAATTCGAACAAATTTCGGGTTGAGTAAATTTACAACACGAGTGATTGGATTTGATATAAAAATATTTCAACCGAACCATGAACATCCCTAAATTAATTTGAAATTGGATAAATTTAACTAGGTGAAATTTTTAATGATTAATGCCCTAAATTCTCGAATTCACCATGATGTAAATATGTATATCGTGAAAAGGAGGAGGCCAAGTGGAAAAAAGAAGAAGCTGCCCTATTTCGATAAAGTGGTGAGCTTTTTTATGTTCTTAATTTATTATTATTATTTTTTAAAAAATAGCTTTTGACTTTTGCAGTTCTTTTCTTTCTTTATTTTATTTTGAGCGAACTTGTCTTTTTGGTGCAAAAGAAATGTCTCTCTCCGCTTTCACATGGTTTGTTTCTTTCGAGACATCACTATTCCAACTTTAAGGAGCAAATTTCCATTTTTTTTTCCTTTTCTCATGGGCTTTTATATGTGGGGGTTTCTACTATTCTTTAATTATGAGTTATGATTTATGATTAATTTCTGTGATTAATATTCCAACACCTTATCTATAGTTTTGAAATTTAATATATGATATCAGAAAATATTAATCAGACCCACGTACGTTGTACTAAAAATATAACTGCCATATAATTATAATGCTAAAATATAAAAAAAAAGCTACATAAACCTATTCTAAAATCCGAAATAATAATAATAGTATACCTATTCAAAGTCCAACTAATAGAGGCTCAAGATCATAACAAAAATACTCAAGTTAAACTTTAAAATTCATGATGTCAACCTACCTAAGAATTGATACCATATGTATTTTCTTGACAACCAAATGTAGTAGAATCAAGTGGTTGTCCCATGAGATTAGTTGAACTACACGTAACTGGTTCGAACACTCACGGATATAAAAAAAGAGTTATTAAAATAATAAATGTGCTTGAATATAACTTAATTGGATAAGACAACACATTATCAAAATTAAAATGGTATAGGTTAAAAGTTGAAAATTCAATTCTATAATTGAATTGTATTACTCTAAAAAAACACTCATAGACTTTACCAAAGATAATCTCATCCATTAGGAAAAATGCAACACAAGAGCTCTTGAATTCAGCGAAAATAATACCAACACAATCCCAAGCCGATAAAAAAAATAGTCTCATTAAATTAGAAAGGCAACTCATTAGCCACAGATCTAAAGATATAAAAACCAAAACAAAAATAAAATTGTATTAATAAATGATATTGATTTAATCCCTTAATTAACTTCAAGATTTAATTTAGTGATACAAATAAGATTCTTTGTTATTCCTATTTATGAGAGTGTTGCTAGAAGAGAGAATATTTTA